CAGGGTTTTCCGCACCTGCGCAGTGGGGGAGCGTGATGTCACCACCGGAGCTACGTGTGCGAAAGGAAGACGTGGCACGATGCTTGCAGGAGTTCGCTGCGTGAAGGAATGCTTTCGCATTCCTACACGTTAGGAGTCCTAAGTGTCTCTGCCGAATTTTCACTTGTTCAAAAGTTATAAGCGATTTTTTTCCAATTTTAAATGAGAAAATGGCGCCTGATGAACAGCTGTTATATACATGCTGCTGACTGGCGACAGTTACCGAAAACGGGCCCCATTTTCCCATTGAAATTTTCAGAAATTTCTGAAAATGGTATAACTTTTGACTGAGATAACGTTTCGTTCCGAAATTATGTTATCTGGCGTGGGCGGGAAATTACCATTAGGCGATGCATAATTTATTTCTAAAAAAAAAATATACGTTGTTTTTTTCTGTGGGTATATTATTAGATATGGTGAAAGTGCAGCTAATACTACCTAGAGAACAAGAAAAGTAGTCTCCAACGTTTGGCTAAAAGAGGCTCCTTGAGGGCTGTCTTGAGCACTACGTAGGCTACTGAGTCAGACGAAAATAATCCCTGGAGAAGGGGAACAAGAGGGACAAAGGACAAACATAAATCTCTAAACACAGCTAGGTGACTGGTGAGCAACCGAAAAAATCCGCCTGGTCCGGGTATCGAACCCGAGGCCTCTCCATTACAGGTGGAGCGCTCTACCAACTGAGCTAACTAGGGGTTAGACGCCAGTAGAGCAAACGGCTTTTATTAGCTGCCACCACACTCTAAAAAAAGGTGGTGTAGACGTTAAACCCCTTATCACATATACGACACCCCAAAACTTGAGTTCGACGTACAGTGCCCCTCAAACTTAACGCCGCCACTCGGTTACACTCGGTTACGCAAATATTGATCTATTGCATGCTACCCAAAGATAAATTGGTCGCTGCAGCTGCTCGAATACTTTCCCCTGGTTGGGTTCTCATCGGGGACGCGAATGTTCACCAAGTAGTTCGACCACTAGGTTCAGGAATAGCTCAACAAGTGAATAAACCGGACGATCTAGTGGCGGCGTTAAGTTTGAGTGGCACTGTACATCGCGCTGACATCGAACTGACTGCCCCAACTTTTGCGAGAGGGTTGATGACGGTACGATATAACATATTAAACAGCTAAAGTACGTATCAAAGTCCACCGGAAAAAAACACACAGGTTTTGCAGTTGAGCTTAGAAAACCCCGATAACTTTTTTTTGCGCTCAGTCACACTTACATTAACTATTTTAATGAGTTGTACAACCGGCTATCAACCCGCTCGTGAAATTTGGCAGCGTCGGTACGACGTCGGTGCGCTGTACATCCAACTGAAGTTTTGGGGGTGTCTTATATGTGATAAGGGGTGTAACGGTCTACACCCCCTTTTCTTTAGGGTGCAGTCTTACACCAGCGAGGGCGAAGCTTGCGATTTAAGGTTATAATTATAATGAAATTAAATGCAAAGGTGCAAGCGAGCTGGACAAGAATGACGAAAATAACCCCTGGAGAAGGGGAGCAAGAGGGATAAGAGGAAAACACAAATCTCCAAACACAGCTAGGTGACTGCCGAGCAACCGAAAAAATCAGCCTGGTCCAGGTATCGAACCCGAGACCTCTTCATTACAGGTGGAGCACTCTACCAACTGAGCTAACTAAGGTTTAGACGCCAGCAAAGCAAACAGCACCGAGGACGTCACTTTTTCTAAAATTCCTCTACTAAGCTCCTGCGTTGGCCAACACCCTTTAGATAGAAAGGGCATAATTTTATGTCATCTACTCGGGGCCAGCAAGGGGAACCATATTGAAAACGAGTGCTGAGACATTGTTCGGCTAGAACTCACCTTCAGTCAGAACAGGAGTCACAGCCAAAAACTGACGCAGCATTATCGTTCAATCTCGCTTCTCTGGCCCTCATTAGGTGATGTAGAACATTCAGCACTACTATTTTCTATCTAGGTGGTGTTGGGTCAGCGCACAGCAGCGACCTGGGAGCTGCGGCAATATTTTAATTTAGTAAAGCATGTTCCTGGGCTAGTTGGTGTATGTTTAGTAGGTATTAAGTGAAACACCGCAAAAGAGGCAAGGACTAGAGCCACTCTATGTGGCAGCGTAGCTGCAGAGTTGTGCCACGCTTTTCCCTGTGCCGCCTCTCACCGCGATTGGTCACAAGCGGTACCATAGCAACGAGCCGAGCTCTCAATGTGCCCATAGCAACCGAGTGACTGCTCGTCACGTAACCTCGCAAAAGCCACGATGTCACCACTAAGGTGGCAGCGCCCAGAACTGGTAGATGCAAGTTTGTTCGGTGCGCGGAGTCGTAATGTGCTCTCTGATGCAGGTATAACGTGAAGATCTGAAAGAATGAGACTTTATACCTTTCTGTGCAAGATCGTTGTGGATATTAGCACCTGTGCGACAGAATCAGTCATATCTCCGTAGTTGGTGCTCGGATTCGCGGATGTGTTCGAGGATCGATGAGGCTTTTAGCACGCAATTTTTGCATACTCTTGGCTTTGTTTCAGCGGTGGAGTGCCTGAGAACCGATGCGGAATGTATGAGTCGCAAGTTGGGCCTTGGGGAAGTTGTTTCAGCCCCAGGTAACCGCATAATCACAGAAACGTTTAGCGAGGAAGCTCCTGCGATCTTTACGTTTTGTACTATTCAACGATTTTACGATATAGCTTTTAGGATAAAATCTTCGCCTTTTTCTAGCTTCCTTTGAAAGTTTGAATTTCTGAAAATTAAAACGAAAGGTATACCTCGCGTGTAGGGCCTAGGGGAAGTTGTCTCAGCCCTGGGTCACCGAATAACCACAGCAACGTTTAGCCAGGAAGCACCTGCGATCTTTAACCTTTTGTTCTAATCGATGACTTTACGAATTGGCAGTTCTGAAGACTTTGATATAACGTGCTTTCGTTGCAATGGATTGCATTTGATCGCAGAGTTTTTTGGTTTATTTTTCAAGTGAAAAGCTGGCGTTTTCTCAAATGACGTGTATAAAATGACCTGTTATAAAACAATGCATCAATACATACTAATAAACTTAGATGATCAGAGATGTGTTCGTCTTTGTAATTAACAAGGTACAGACATAATTATTTTTTTTCCGTGTAATATTTATTTTCTGTAGCTGGGCCCGTTTTGTGCTCATTAATGTCAGTGTGCTATGATGTTATCATCGTTTGTGTATGGTTCTAAATATCCTCTTTGCAATGCCTACGAAGGCCAAAATGACGTCAGCCGACCCCAGCTCATGCATTGGACACGAAAACTGCGTCACTCGGACGTATGCACTCGTCAACAATCAATTCGTCGACGAATATTTGAATTCGCGTTCGTGGCCAATGAGCGCACTGACGGAACTTATCATCACTGGCGAATACCAAGTTCTAGGGTATGCTTAAAAAGCACGGTGGAAGCTTGGGGTCATCGCACCGGTGCCCTAGCATGTTACGACCGCATGATTTCACAATTCGCTTTTGAGTTGATGATTACAGCTAAGAAAGAAGAAGTTAAAACGATTTCATGGTTCCTTTAACGCGGATATCCGTGCTACACCAGATAAAAATATTGACATTTCGCATGCCGGTAAACTTCCGGACGACCACTTGGCCTGTCGGCAAGAACACCTCATATCCGGCATCCGCCTCTTTTGATGGCGTTAATAATCCTCTGGAGACCACCATGCTGTCCTTCTTGGTTTAACCTTGTCGACTGTTCCTCGCCCAAACGAGGGTTAGACTGTCGTCGACGTCGCACCTCGCCAATCGGTGAAATAATCTTAACTTGAATGAATGATTGGGTCTTCAAGAAGTATGATGCTAAGCATACGTTCGCTAACTATGGGGCGGAACAGACATGTCCCGAGGCAAATCTTCCTGTCGTGGCCGGTGTAATCGGATTTTGTTTCGTAGGAGCGAAGTCCGAAAGTACAAGGATGGTACGTACGTCCCACCAAGCGGCCGCCATCCCGGCGGCGTGGAAAACCACTCGCCTTGTCCGTGCACATACAATACCAAGCAGCTCTCGTCGCCCGACAGTCGCCGGGCTGCAAATCGTCTCACTTACAGAAGAAACACACACCGTTCCTCCAGAGGCCCGTGCCGTACCGCCAAGCCAAGCGTCTTTTACCACTTTTTAATGGACGAATGGAGATATCCAACTAGCAAAAAATTGCCGCCCGGCGTCGCTAGCAGCACGGTTACCATGGTAACCTCCCAGGCCCGAAATGGAGATCACTATCGGCGCTTCTGACGTCGTGCACCTAGATAATTTTTCGTCGTGTCGCTACTCTGGCAGCTATGCTGCCATATAGACAAGAGGGTAGACAGGCATGTCTACTTTCGTCCTTGTCTCTTTCGCGCTATAGTATGTTGTACTTAGGTAACTTAATGGGCGATTACGTCGATACTACTACTATTGAGGTCGAAAGAAAACTTAGCACTCGCACTAGACTGCACACGAACTAGTGTGCTGTCTTCTTATCGGCGTGGTGGTTCGCGTGTAATCCAGTGTTTTCTTATTATAGAAAACTTAACTCTTTTTTTAATGCGGAAAAAAAATTTGAAATTATTTATGGAACTTTAAAATATATTACCAGCAATACAAAGCGCTTGAAAATTTATTCCATCTCATGTTAGCAGCGCTAGATTATTCAGTAGCTGCTTGCAATAATTCATCTGACGTAGTATTTAGCCCGAGTGAAAAAGAGTACCGTGATCGGTTTAAAACTACTCAGATACCTAGACTCATGTGCTAAAAACCTACCCAGAATTGGCCTTGTATGTACATGGACAGTGCGTTGTCCTCAGAATATAACCTACAACCAAGGGTCATTCCTAATAAAAATGTTACCTAGAATTTCAAGAACTGCTTTTTAGCGTAGACTCAAAGAAAGCTGCTTAACTTGGCGGTTGAGACATCACCCTTGAAATTTAGCGAACTTCACGTTGCTGGTGCGAATCACTTTTTTACGTCAGTATTTGTCTGACGGTACCTTAAACTGTTCAGCGTTAATCAAATATTAGATGTCAAACCAGCACAATGTATATTGCCTTTGATATCGCTGTGTACAAAAAGCGATACATAAAAACTCTGACCATTATCGTTATCCGTGCTCAGAGGAAAGAAGTCCTCTTACCTGCGACAAACTGCTGCAAGTCCTCGGCTGTGGTTCCTCGAGGTCCTTTGTGACATGGTTTCACGACTACGAAGGCCTTTCCCGCGTCGCCATATTCCACGTGGGGCAGACTAATAACTGCTGCTTCCTCGACGCTCTCATGAGTCAACAAAACAGTTTCAACATCTGACTGGGCAACTTGCCGTCCCATGCAGTGATAAAATTGCTTAATTCGCTCCACGATGTAAAAGCGCCCGGTTTCATCGTAGTATGCAATGTCTCCTGTAAATAAAATTTAAGTAATCAACCTTTACGCTGTTTATTAAGTCGCACAGAGGCTTCTAAACCCATGAAATGCAGTGTTTAATGTGCGGTCGATTAAGACTTAAACCGTCGTTTCGCGAGGTGAAGAACCTTTGTTTTTATCAATTTCCCCGCTACATTGGGTCAAGCGGCGTCAATTTCCCCGCAAAACTTTACATGGGAAACTGAATTGGTGTATAGACCACGCGGCGTAAATTCTTCCCCTATATTTAGCGGGGAAACCTATTTAATGTGTAGGTCACAAGACGTGAGGTCACGTTTTGTCGATTTCTCCGCTAAATTTAGCGCGGAAACTGAATCGGTGCATAGGTCACGTGGCATCAAGTGACATCACGTGACCTAAAGAGTACTTCAGTTTTCTCGCTAAATGTACCGGAATAGCTTGGCAATGAGAATAAAGGAAGGGGGAAGTATAGTATCGGCGAAGAAATCGAAATATAGGGGGCGCTTTACCCAGATGTGTTCTAAAGCACCTTGATGTTTTTCCGTTTGTCTTGCAAATAGCGTCAGATGCGCCAGTGCACGAGGCCCGTGTCTCGAGCGGCCTTTGGAAGCAATTGACGACGCAGCACTGAAATGGGCGGTCCTTAAGGGGTATCCACACGAAGGAGAAATCCGCCCCTTTCCTCCGCGGATCGCGCATCACGTGAGACATACGTCATCCCTTTTTGACGCCTCGCGGCGCGTTCTCCTCCGTGGCGGAGGCGCGGAGGCTTTGTCCTGACAGCACGAAAGCTCCGCAAGTGCACGCGGCGGAGCCGGGGACGGAGTTTCCCGGGATGTTGACGTCACGACATCCCTCCGCGGAGTTCTCCTTCGTGTGGATACCCCTTTAAGGGGTGTCCAAACAGGACACTACAAAACGCACGACTCCGACAAATCGTGAAAATTGAAGCGGACGCGCCCGCTTCCAGCCCGCTTCAATTGTCGGAGTCGTGCGTTTTGTAGTGTCCTGTTTGGACACCCCCTTAGAAGCGAATGACGGAGGTGCACCCGCTCGTGGCACGTGGCTTGCGCGTTACCACAGCAATGGTTGGCGGTACTTGTGAGCGTCAAGCTTATTGAGGGACTGTACTCTGTTTCCCAGAGCTCGGTGTTTACTCAATACGTGGTCTGTGCACCGGGTTTTCTGCCTGGTGCACCTTGATCCAGCCCGGGGGGGGGGGGGGGGGGAGGGAGGGAGGGAGGGAGGGAGGGAGGGAGGGAAGGGAAGGGGGAGTGGAGGGGACGTGAGTATAGCGTCAAGATTCGGATGTGGCACGTGTTCAAGCGGTGCTTCACTAATTGAGGACAAGCCCCAATGGAATGCTGACGCAGCCTTCAGGCCGAACAGCACCGGGCGTATTTCCGACGTATTTACGGGCGTTTCGTCGGGCGTAATCCCGACGTATAGGTTCGTCGAGACGAGCGCGTCCTCGACATCTCATGGTTGGCGTAAATACGCGCGTATTCGGCAATCCTAGCGAAGCGAATCTCGGCGCTTCGGTGTATTTCGACACGGCGTATCCGGAAGCGTACGGCGCGGTGCCAGCCAATCATCTCGTGAGTTGACAACCGGCAGGTGCTCGAGGATCGGCTCGCCGAGCTTTGCGGCCGGCTGGCTGGCTTGACACAGCCACCAAAACGGGCGGTCTCTTGTCGCGCAACCACGCTCAAGGTCACGTACTCAAACTCACGTACCGCCCTTGGCTGAAGTGCAAGGTCGTGCAATCAAGATCACGTAAGCGCCGGTTGCGTAACCTCCGTTCGCGTAAGCGGCGGTCGCGTAAGCTCGTACGCGACAACAGGCCACGTCAGCTTCAGCTGACGTGGCCTGCTGACATCGCCCTTGAGGTCGCTCCCAAGGTCGTCCTAGATGTCGTCCTAGAGGTCGTTTTAAGGGTCGTCCTAGAGGTCATCCTAGAGGAAGTCCTTGGGGTCATCCTAGAGAGTTTTTTGCTTTTGTCCTAAAAGTCGTCCTAGATGGCGTCTTTGGGGTTGTCTGTGATGTTATCCTAGAGGTCGTCATCGACGTCGTCCTAGACGCGCTCCTTGACGTCGTCCTGGACATCGTCCTAAACGTCGTCCTCGAGGTCATTATAGACGTCGTTCTTTAGGAAAGCATACCGAGCTCCCTGGACGTCATCTTTTGGGAAGACCTCTTGGGAGCTCGGTGTACCTTTAAGTCGTCGTCGATCTCTGCATGGCATATTACAGCAATTTCATCACCATGTTATTTCCCTTCTAATTGTTTTCACCAACGATGTTCCAGTAAAGCGCATTTTATCTGGTTTGGTCGAGTGAACGTGCGTGTAATTGTTAGAGAGTTTACATAAACAACCTACTTCCACAAACGATGGTGATTGAGTATAAAATGTGCTCTACAAGTGGTAGCTTTCCAGGCTTGACAACGCTCCATGTAGGCGACTTAAGGTGGCCGACCGCTGGCCACAATCGTGCAATGGTCTCAAAGCGGGGATGAGCGATCCAGCAAATCGTCATACAGATCAGTGCGCTCAACGGCTTATCGGCGAACTGTACGAAATCGCTATAACTCTTGCGAATGAGCGATGAAGGACTGAGACAGAAGAAAAAACTATCTATGTGGCGCACGATGTGAAAAAAATATAAAAGGGAGGGTTTTGAGCAGAAATCGTGATCGTTCTCCAGCCGGAACTTGTTGGCATTGTGGCTATTGCAAGGAACATTCTTGAGACAAGCATAAGGAAATTAGGCTTTCGTGGTTGATTAACATTTAGTTATTTCTCTCCCCTTGCGAAAAGCGATAATGTAGCAACTGATATACATTTTGCACCTTTTCATGAAAATCGCGAGTCGGGCCACATTCCACCAAACACAGAGGGGACGTCGACGAAAAACGCAGTGTGTGGTTTGGCTGCCTTCCCCTCTCCCCTTTTGTAAAAAAGTGCCTGCAAAATGCTGTGATTACGCCCGCTGAAAGGAGCGTAAATATGTTGAGAATGCTTCCTATGTTGGTCGGCCTTTCGGCTACGCCAGCCGAGCGCTGCGTCGCAAACAAAAACTAATAATTCATATTGTCCCCGTGGGCTGAGTTCTGAACGTACCCGCTAGAAGCTCAGCGTTTGGATTTCTTCTCCACTAGGTATGGAGATAGGGTCATAAGGAATACCAGCTTACAGCCACTTGTGATAAGAGTCCTTGAACGATTTAATAAAGGCCGATAGAATTACCATCATCGAAGAAGATACCGGAGTGGTCTCTTAATAGAAATTACTTGGAGCGGTTTATGATGCTCCATTTATTAAAAATGACATCCGGCAAAGTAAATCCAAATGTAACCAGACATTCTCTACGGTATTATGTGTAATTCAAGGGTGCTTATTAACACGATTATTGTTCTACCAGTGTGTGGAAATTGGTGATCTCTTTTCTGGTGATTTGCCCCTATCGAAAATTCCATCAAGATACGTAATTTGGGACACTGACTGCCAGTCAACAGCCTTGGTAGAACGTGATGGACCATCAGACGTCATCTGATTGTCCATCAGATGACGTCTGACTGCCACTGCCAAGGGAATTTCATCAACAATAACAGCATTTATATAAGAGTAAATATCGCCAAATGACTCGATAAAACAAATTGTTCGAGAAAAAAAAAAAAGAAAAAAAAAAAGCAGGACTACCGCTGATCGAACCCGCGGCCACTTCCGTACAAATCGGACTCCTTAACCCCTATCCTATGCCACCGCTTGGAAACTCGATTTGACCATTCTTTTTACACGAGATGCTTCTGCTGCAAATGCAGTTAAGCCTTCAGCATGTTATGCAAAGCACTCGTACATCACTCGCCGTACTTCAGTTCTACTCACCTGCCATGTAGAGTACTTTCGCGTCGTAGAACGATCCTTTTGTTCGCGCGTCTCCGGCCAGTAGACCTGGTACACCTTGTCGTCTTCAACTACACCGCTAAAGTCCCTTACATCGTCGGAACTCACAGCTGGCTGGGTCTTGTCGAGTAGAAATTCTACTAAAACATAAGACATTGTAGAGCCCGGACAGGATCGACAGGTTGGAGCAAGCGGGCAAACAAAACGAGTCGAGAGCGATCGTTCATGAAAGCTCGGCGAAGCCTCTATGGGCGAAGCGAAGTGGCGTGTTCGGCTATCGGTGGGCTTCTGATCAAGGTTGCCGGTCGGCTGCGTGTCATATCTCTAACATCAGCGGTTTTATGGGCTCACGTCCCGAAATCGTTTTCTTGTGCATAGATTATTTTTCGTATTCATAGATTTGACGAAATAGTGGTATCTGAACGAACTTTACGTCCTTTGACCGTGCGTCTGTCTGCACGTCAAAGCTTTTTGACGTACAGTCAGAGACAATCGATGTACAATCAGAATCGCCACCAGGACATCCTGATGGCATTTCGCGGCGGCCGACTGCCACCAGGAAACCATCAGAAAGCCGACAAGTGGAGTCTGATTGGAGTTTGACTGTCGGTCAGAGTAACTTGTTGGCCAATCGGACATGCTTGACGTACAGTCAGGCACAGTCAGCGGTCCACTAGAAAACATTCACTGCCAAACAGGGTTACATTGATGGATTTTTCCTTCGGGGTGAATTCTGGGTTATTTTGCTTATGGGTTGTGAAACGTGACCGTACTTTTCTGTCTTGTTTCACATATATTTATAGGTGAAGAATTCTATGGGTTCAAAATTCAGATGCGTTACTTTGAACTTCAAAATAGTTTGAACAGGAAATGAGCCTGCTACATTCTGTTTGCCGCTCCAGTAGTGAATAAATACTGAAATTTTAACTTTACTGTATAATATAAAATCGCCACCGTTTCTTTTTGTGCGCCCCCCCGAGGTCACGTGACCCCCCCCCCCCCAGAGCTCACGTGACCCCCCCTCCCCCAGAGGTCACATGACCCCTCTCCCCCAACAGTACCCTTCCCTACTCCTCCTCAAGAGCTGCGCTCTAATTCGGCGTTAGAGGGAGTTGTAAACGGCTTCCACTTTTTTTTCAAGAACATATTCAGCTTTTTTTTTAAGTATTAGGCACGTATTAATAGCCTCTACAAAATCTCGAGTTTTCACAACGGTACCTGATCGGAGCCAGGCATCGGAAGTAATCACTTCGACAGTCGCCTCTGGGTTGTTGTGGTAGGCTCTCATATTGGTGGGTGACTTGGCCCAGAGTTCTCCGTGCTCGTTAGGTCCAAGTACTTTTCCAGTGTCAAGTTCAACGATCTAGATTTTTTTTTTTTGAGCAATGGTGAGATGTACGTTTAAAGTATCGTGTTTAGTAATAATTGATCCGTGAAATTCACCTACCTTCATTTGCACGTTTGGAGCCGGGAACCCGATTGTTTTGTGCTCTGTTGTGTCGCGCGGCAGCCAGGAGATCACGTTCGAGTGTTCTGTCGTCCCGTACATGCTCCTGAAGCTTTTTAGGCAGAATGCAGATAAGATAGTTTCTGCGGCCTTTTCTGTTACGCGACTGGCGACGACGAGAACGTTCTTCACGCTAGGAAGCCGAATCCCACTTTGGATCATCTTTCTGGCCAGCTTATATATTACCGTGGTGCCAGCGAAGAGCGTCGTGATCTGAAGACGACAACAAAAGTTAGAGTAATCGAAATGTCGAATTCTAGTAAAAAAATAAAGTAGGTCAATTTTTTCCTCCACAAAATGGCACTAGTTTCAGTGGTGTATAAATAGGGTTGCTTGTTTTAGGTTATGCCGATAAAACCCGTAAAATACCCCCTGAGCCGGTATTATCAAAATTGGCTAAAGCCGGAACATTCGAATTAGAGCTGTGTTAGTAGGAAAAACTGAAGCTCCACGTGAGTAGCTTTGTTTAGCTACAGCTTTGGATGGTGCACGCGCATAACTCCCGTGAGATTTACAAGGACAGCATCATGACATTTAACACTCGTCGGCACGTTGTCCCTACGCATTGCCTACTCCTGTCTTTCAAATTGTTTAACACTTCGCTGACAATATTATTTTTCACACTTTATTGTAGTGTAATTATGGGCATGTTTAGACAGCGGAAGCTGGTCAGCTCCAATTGGCGTCTGTTGTTTCCTCCGTAAATAATAAATTTTGCCTGCGCAGAATCGCTGCTGGCCTGAGGTGTTCAAAGAGCGTCACGCAGTAGTGATACACAACCGCGCGCCAGTATAATGCTCATCCAGATCGAAATGCCCTGGTGGGGATTGAACTTAGGACCCTCTGGGTTCTATTGTTGAATTAACAGCGCAACTAGTCCAACCAACTAGCCCACCAGATGATCGTGATGCAGCCTCTGGGTTCTGCAGCGCGAGCTTTCGCCCTATGTTCTCTATGCTGCGGTGCGTTCACCCACTCGCGGTAATCTGGTTGGTCCGAGTCACTTTAGAGCAGCCGGAGCGTTGTTTATGAGCTGGCTACAAAAATGACTTTCGGAGCGCAAACATGCTTACTTTTCATTCATTCCACCACGAATACTCCGTTAAGATTCATGTGTCGGCCTGTCATATTATAGGGAAATGCCATCTTTTTTTCTTTTTTTTTGCCGCTCATGTGGAATTACTTTTTACCATCGATTGCACAGTCGCCAGTTTGATGACATTCACAAAGTTTAATTATTTAATTATTTTTCTTTTAAATACCGGTACGTACATCATCGTGCTCTGGAGTAATGTACTGTTGGCTGCGCTGCGGTGAAGCCAGGCATGTAGGATCATGTGAGGCTAATTTTGCTGCAATTATGGCTCGAGTTATTTGCAGTTCTGTCAAATGTAGCAGGATGTGGCAGGCTAAGCACCTTGGCACAGTCTGGAGCAAATGGTGCAGCAGTCAGATTATTGGACACGCCACCCATCCCCCGTGGTGTAGAGAGCAAGTTACTATTGTACACCTGGGCGAAGAGCGACAAGGCTGTCACGACCTCCGCCACTTATTCCCCCCCTCCCACTTTGGCTTTACTCGGGTCTCGTACAGCAGCATCCGCTCGTAGCGTTCCTTGAGCTGACACGCGCTTTTCTTTCATAAGGTGCCCATGTGTCTGAGGCAGGCGTTTAAAGGCCTTACTTTTTCAGGCAACGCGCATCAGTGCCGGCCAAAAATCAACTTTATGGTGGCTTTACAGGCTTTCTAACGGGACCAACCGAGGTTACTCCGCACACAGTCACTTACGGTGTCTCGGTGTGCCCTAAGCCTTCGGTGACACACACCTCGCTGCTTCCCATCAAAGTGATTCCGTGTGCACGCCAACAGCCACTGCACGACGTTGTGACTGTAACTCCTGGTATCACTACCATCCTCCACGACGCCCGCGCAGTCTCGTTTTGACTAAATATCCTCAGTCCTGGGGCATTCCAGATAGCCATCAGGTGCATTCGCTCTAGTCCGTCGCTTGGTCTCGTGGCGCTCAAGACACCGTCGAGCATGTTGTTGCGTCGCCTTTAGGCATTTCTATTTGCCCTTCTACTGAATTTTCTGGCCCTGGAGCGTCACTCGAGTTGAGGAATCCCTTGGCGTTTGGGGATCCAGTGGCTTTCTGTCTGCTCTGAGGACCCCACACTTGTTGGGCCTGAACGTTAGCCCCGACGTTGTTCCATCTTCTCCGCGCATTTCGAGCAGCTCCTCAAGTGACACTGCCATCAGCCCTATTTTGTCTGCTTCACTTTAAGCCGAGATTCTCAGTACCACTTCCCTTCCTTTGTTTCGTTACTTACGGAGAAACCTGACCCACTCGTCTTCTTACACGTCCTAGGCCTGGCGCTTTGCATTATTTCAAGCAGCGTGGAAAGCGGATACTCCTTCAGCCTACCTAAGTTCGAACCTCTGACATCTGCCAGATTATCTTATATCTCGGACCAGTGTGCCACAATGTCCCTCCACTCTTCTGGCCGTCTACTTGCGCTCAAGCCCCATTTAATCTAATCTGCTATGAAGTGAGTGAAGATGCATTGTAAAGATACCAGATTCTGCAGGTAAACTGATCTCCGCTCTTGGCTGGCAACATCCATGGCCCGCCGGACGACAAAAGGTTATCGTCCAGTCTTCTTCTCTTCAGGAAGCCAGTTTGAAGCTTCCCTACTATACTCATGTGCTTTGCTCATTTCTGTGCAGGCTTCCTAACATGCGTGAGAGTTTGACAGAGTACCAAGATCACTGCTGTTAATCGATTTTTTTTTGTGTGGATAAGCTTGTTTTATTTTCCCTTCGACAACACCCTGATTCACAATTTCCAGTCCTTCGGTATCCCTTGTAGCGTGCCTTTAAATAGCACTAAAAACGAGGGAAAAAAGTGGACGTATTAGCCTAAGTTTTGAAACCCGTGCTGACGCTTACGCGTCTTTTGTCCTGCTCTAGGATGTTCGACCTCCAGCACGAGCTTGTTGCCTTCCGACACGTTTAGGCTGCGCGCGCACGCTCGAGGTGCCCGAGACACCGAAGTATGGTTGAAGGTTGAAAGCTCGCACTGGAGGTGGGGCAACTTAAAGGAGCGATGCAACAATTTTTGTACTTTGCGCAAATACCGCTTAAAACGTATCCCTAACGTTAATGACCTATGAAACACGTGTTCGTTTTTCACCCCACGTAATAGAAGTCCCAGAAAAAAATTAAAGAAAAACGAGGAGCGTTCACCCCCTCAACTCGCAGCCAGAACAAGCGGCCACGTGATCTGGAGCCGATTCTATGCCGCCAATGTTGATCATAGCCACGCGCTGGGGTTGGCAAAGCACAGGACACGCGCTGAGTGCCAGACATTGTTATGGCTCGGCTGTTGTCGTCGTTGCAGCGATTGGACATGGGTCACTACCCGAATGCTTCGCGAGCTAGCAATTGTCACGAGCCCAAGTCGAGTGCCCACGCAATGCTCGGGTCCAATCTATGAACCTCATTCAAATATCGTCACTTGGGTGTACTGCGATCCCCACGTTACGTCATCAAATTTTGCAAAGGAGAGATTGAATGAGAATGATCGCTTTTGTCCTTGAAATTACACCGCAACAAAGGAGTTTCTTGGCCAGCGGAGTTGCGTGCGAGTATCCTTGAGCCCCACTAGTGCCAGTAAGCTCGTGTAAACTGAAAAACATTTCAACTGAATATCGTTGCACAGCTCCTTTAAGGTCCCTTGATGTGTTTGCGTGGGTCTTGCAAGTAGCGTCAAATACGCCTGTGCACAAAATGCGTGCCTCGAGCGGCCCTTGGAACCAGATCGCGGCGCAGCACTGAAAGGAGCTGCCTTTGGAAGCAAATAGCGGCGGAGCATCCGCTCCTGGCGCGTGTCTTGTGCGTTTTCACAACCATGGTTGGCGGTACTTGAAAGCGTGAATTTTATAGAGTGACTTTAGGGCAACTGAAGCGCCCTCCTGTCGTTCTCACTATGCCAGTATCACATCTGAGAGCCCTTTCCTGGAGCCGTTTCCTAGACCTCTTTGACACCGTGTTCAAGTGGCTAATTAGGGTGTCATCTAGACCCGTTGCAGTTTTGCCCCTATATACGGCATGACCCCGTTCACCTTGCCCTGGGATGTTATGAGGCGTCGCTGTTTGATATTTCGTGTCCCGTCTTTCTGAAAGCCATCAGGATCATGACATTTAGACCTTCAAAGATTTTTGTTACCTCTAGAGTAACTGCTCGATAGAGTTTTTTCCAGTCAAGGTTATTTCATTTGTGGGTTCCTTTGCTGTCGTTGGGTTGTAACTTGACAGTGTTAGGGGTTGCCACATACAGCAAGTTATAGTTCTGCACCTGTGGAAACTCTCCATCGCTGGACTAATCGAAACTATTTCTTTTTTCCTCCGCAACCTATTCCTTTACTCTCGTCCCCAGCCACCTGATAGATTACGGGTGGAACCAGCTGAACAAGGAAGGAGAAACAGAAAAAAAAACCAATCGCTGGACTGCCAACTATTTTAATAAATCGTTCTCCTCTTGTACTTATTCTTATTCGCCTCAAAAATTCTTTTTCTCAAATTGTGTGTTTTTTCTTAATTCTATTTTTACTTAGCAGGGAGGGCGCCGTTCTGAAAGAGCTTTTCTTGCGGTTGCAGGGTTATTGAGGCGGAGCTCACACAGTTTTCCTCTTCATTGTATATTAGCGATGTGCGCGACCAAAAGCGTCGCTGCGGTCAGCTTTTCACGATTGGCCAGACCATGGGCATATGAGCATTGTCAGATTGTCAACTTTGACGGTGTTAGTTCCGGTTGCGATGGTTCTTAGCTGCCACTGTGCTTTTTAAACACACCATCGAACTCGTCGTCGCACCTGGTGGCAAGTAGCCAGGGTAACAACTGGTGACGTCACGGCGAGGAAAATCCCAGTTGTGACGTCACGAAGGGAAACTATTAGGAGGCGTTACCAAAATATCTCGGCGCTAATAGCCAAGGCCTCCAACATCTCCCTTGGAAGCTGGTTTTAGGGGATTTCTCCTCGCGTGCCAAGGACAAAACCCCGGGAATTTCTCCCCGGCACGCGCACCCCACGCCGAAAGCGTCAGGCTTTGCGATGTGCAAAAGCCTCCCGTTTTCATCTCGTGATGCGCGCGTGCCGGGGAGAAATTCTCCCTCGTGTGAATACCCCTTTAGGGGCTAGCCATGTCCGTATGTCCGTCAGCCTTCGGGTGCACGTGCTCCTTCCTGCTGGTTTAACTCACGTGCTCACGTGCTCGTGTAGGGTAAAAAGAAACGCATCTCCACGTGGTGAATGATGTTGATTGAGGCGAAGCTCTGGTGGTGCTTGTCTGCGTAGACGGTGAGCCGCAGCATACCGAGCCTTTCGTTCGTTTTCATTCATGTCAGAAAGAGAATGTGTGGTATGTAACGTGGTTATATACGCATTTGAGCATTTGACCGCAGCGTGACATGGATGAAAACGAACGAAAGTCTCGGCGTGCTGCGGCTCAGCGTCGACGCAGACAAGCGCCACCAGAGCTTCGCCCTAATCAACGTCATTGACCA